TCCCTGCATGCCACGCCTCAGGTGCACATTACACCTGCATACCATGCCTGCTCTCCACACATGCACATCACACCTGCATACCATCCCTGCTCACCACAGGTGCACATTACACCGGCATACCATCCCTGCTCACCACGCCACAGGTGCACATTACACCTGCATACCATCCCTGCTCTCCACACGTGCACATCACACCTGCATACCATCCCTGCACACCACACGTGCACGTCACACTCTGCACAACCCAGTGGCTTGCAACATGACTAGATGCAGAAGCACCCGAGACGGCCAGGCTCCCCTCGGGCCCCCGAGTCAGGACCTCACAGGCTCTGCTCAGCACCCTGCACCCACAGACACCAGCCTGAGCCGGGGAGGCTGCCGCGAGCCACTGAGCAGCACACTGTCAGGGAGCCAGCACTCTAAGCTCACCTCAAGAGAAAGCTGCTGCTGACAGCCATGGCGTGAACCCCGTGGCCCACTTCACACAGGACATAATTCTCAGTGAGCTCCAAGAGAATACATACAGCTAAATTAGAAAGAGAGCAAAGGATATGAATGAAAATGTCACCAAAGTGGTAGACATGTTTTAAAAATAACCAACTAGAAAATGTTAGAAAGGAAGATGTCTGAAAATCTGATTTTATAAGTCTGAATAACAAGCTAGATAAAGCAAAGCAACGAACATCAGAGCTTGAAGACAAGTCTTTGGAATATCACAGTCAGAAACAAATTGGCAGCATCCAAGAGCTCAGGGACAACACTATCTATCAACAACTACCTATCCAGGCACAGCAGCTCACCCCTGTACTCAGCTACTCATGAGGCAGAAATTGGGAGGATCATGGTTTCAGACCAGCCAGGGTAAAAGGTTAGTGAGACTTTCATCTTAACCAACAGAAAGCCGGGCATGGGGTGAGCTATGACCTCAGCTCTACGGGGGCAAAAGCAGGAACACTAATGTCCATGTTGTGCCAGGCCTAAGTCCAGGACCAGGTTTGAAAAATTACTATAAACAGAAAGGCCTCAATCGTGACTCTGGGGGCAGAGTGCCTGCCAGGCAGGCTGCTGTGAGTTCAAACCCCAGCACTGCCAAAAAGGGAAAAAACACAATTGAAGGAGGAGAAAGAGGAGGAGAAGGAGGAGAAGGAGGAGGAGGAGGAGGAAGGTTTAGGGGCCATAGCCAGGGCACAGTACTGGATGACATTGAACCCTCGGGAAGATGGCACTAAGCCAGACCACATGGCACCACCGCCGGGAAGATCCTCACCACACAGTGCAGAGAAACCCCTCAGAGGGGGGGGCGAGGAAAGAAGTTCAAACTCCTTTAAATGCCTGCTGGCCACCCGGGTGACCTATAGCAGATTACTCCAAAGAAACCCCCGAGTCAAACAAAACACGCGGCCACCCGGCCTTCTAGCCAGCACACGGCGCTGACTTCTAGAACACACCACATCCTGTGCAGCAAGTGAAAACCTGAACGCATAAGTTGCACCTTTTCTGGGCCCCTCACGGAGGGCGAGGCAGAGACCAGGGCAAGGCAAGCCGTGGAAGCCACGCACATGCCCTGAGACCGGACAACACGCTTTCCCCACTTATTTCCATAATGTGGGTTTTGAATATTTTTATATTTTTGCTGTTATTATAAAGGTGACATACGGAGGGGTTCCAGTTACGTAAGTCAGGCAAAGAGCACATTTCTTGTCGGGTGCCAGGGGTTCGCACCTATATTCCCAGCTACTCAGGGGGCTGAGATCTGAGGATCATGGTAAAGCCAGCCCGGGCAGAAAAGTCCCTCTGAGACTCTAATCTGTAATTAACCACTCAAAACCCAGAAGTAGTGCTGTGGCTCAAAGTGGTACAGTGCCAGCCTTGAGCAAAAGAGCTCAGGGTCAGCGCCCAGGCCCCAAGTTCAAGCCTTATGACTGACACATACACACAAAAAAGAGTACGCTTCTTTTGGGACAATGTCACCCCTTCCTCACTCTCTCCCAGTGTTTCCCTCCCTCCCCACCCATAAGATGTAGAGTTCATTTACAACAGTGTCCACTGAGTACCACTGCTGTATTTGTTCATCCTTTGTCCCTCCATTTCTGTGCCTCCCCAAAGTCAGATAAACAGACAAAAAGAAAACAAAAACAGCAACAAAGAAAAAAGTGTTTCCATGTGACAGCATGCTGCTGAACATATAGAATGTGCTTGTCATTATTAAAGTGACGTACAAGGGGTCACGATTTCCTAAGTCAGGTAACAAGTTCATCTCTTTTCTGGACGGTGTCACCCCTACCTTCACTCTTCCTCCATGTCCCCCTCCTTCCCCGCCCCTACCTCCACCCCCGCCACGGCCATGTCCATAGTTACCTGGGTCATTTCCAACAAAGTATACACTGAACAGCAGGACGGTCCCCTCCTCCACAGTCCCACCCCCCCTGCCATGGCCATGTCCATAGTTACCTGGGTCATTTCCCACAGAGTGTACACTGAACAGCAGGACGGTCCCCTCCTCCCCAGCCTTCCCCCGCCCCCGCCACGGCCATGTCCATAGTTACCTGGGTCATTTCCCACAGCATGTACACTGAACAGCAGGACGCCCTCTGTTCACCCTCCTCCCTCCCTCTCTGTACTGCCCCCGTGTGGCCCCTAAACAGAAAAAAAAAAGCAAAAGCAAACACCACCACCACCACCTATCAATATCAAAAAGACATGTGTTTTGAAAATAGTATTTTGGATGTTCAGAGAAGCCACACTTGGGTCCCTCCCCTGGGCCTCCCCTGGGCCTCCCCTGGGCAGTCCTCCTTTAGTCTCACCATGCGTGAATGTCTAGAGTTCTGTGTCATTTACCAGATCCTGTGTCCCGTGTATTTTAGATCTAGCTTCCACGTAAGAGAGGAAACATGTGCTGCTGGCCTCTCTGGCCTGATTTTGAGGAAGTCAGGAGGGAAATTTAAAAACACCTTGAAACAAACAGAAACAGAAGCACACACACCAAACGGCGTGACCCAGCGGGAAGCACTGCTTAGAGAGTAGAGTCAGCTTTTTCAAAATGGAGAGAATGGGTGGTTGTGTGAGGGGTGAATGCATTTAACACCACTGAACTTTAAGCTTTAAGATCGTGCATAGTATGTGTATTTTCATGCAATGGAAAAACATTCCAAGTGTTTGGAGAACAAACTGCCAAATCTTCCCAAATGTGATAGACATACGCATCTACACGTCCAAGAAACAAACTAGAATTGATCCATACAGAGCCTGGTGCTGCTGGCTCACGCACATGACCCCAGCTACTCAGGAGGCTGAGATCTGAGGATCTTGGTTCAAGGCCAGCCCAGGCATGAAAGTGTGTGAAACTCTTCTCTCCAATTAATCACCCAAAAAGCCAACATGAGGCTGTGGTTCAGGTGGTAGAGCACTAGCCCTGAGCACTAGCCCAGAGTTCAAGCCCCAGCATAGGCACAACACAACACAACACAAGCTTGGGAGGGTAGCTCAGAGGCTCAGCACTTGGCTAGTGTGTGCGAGGGCCTAAGTTTAGCTCCCAGTGCCACGAAAGGAAAACAAAACGAAGGAGGAATCATAACCTGTCCTGGGGGTTGGGGGGGGTAGAAGATGAGAGCGCCACTCACTAGCCTGTCACGTCACAGTAGCGGTGAGGCAGGCTGACCCGAATGCAGCCAGACGGAGATAACCAGTGCACGTCTCGGTGTTGGCACGTCGGCATGTTGGTGTCTGCAGGAACTTGTGGGGGGCTGCACCCCCGTTATCTAACGTGTGTGTGCTGCACACGCATTATCTAAAGTGTAGGGGGGGCTGCACCCATGTTATATAATGTGTGTGTGTGTGTGTGTGTGTGTAGGCTGCACCCACGTTATCTAACGTGTGTGTGTGCTGCACCTGCATTATCTAACGTGGGGGGGCTGCACATGCATTATCTAACATGGAGGGGGGCTGCACAGGCGTTATCTAACTTGTGTGTGTGTGTGCTGCACCTGTTTTATCTAACATGTGGGGGTGGGCTGTACCCACATTATCTAACATGTGTGTGCTGCACCTGCATTATCTAACGTGTGGCTGTAAGTCCCTGCACATGTGTTATCAAACATGTGGGGGGCTGCACCTACATTATCTAACGTGTGGGGAGCTGAACACACATTATCTAACGTGTGTGTGTAAGTACCTGCACACGCATTATCAAATATGTGGGGGGACTGGACCCACGTTATCTAACGTGTATGGGGGCTGAACCAGCGTTATCTAACGTGTGTGTGTAAGTCCCTGCACACGCGTTATCAAACATGTGGGGGGCTGCACCCACGTTATCTAACAGGTGGGGGGCTGCAGCCACATTATCTAACGTGTGTGTGTAAGGCCCTGCACATGTGTTATCTAACGTGGGGGGGGCTGCAGCCACATTATCTAACTTGTGAGTGTGTAGGCTGGTCCCTGCACACACATTATCTAACTTGGGGGGGGGTCAGGTCCCTGCACATGCTTTTCTAACTTGCCATTCACACGGTTTAATCATTTCATCAGAAGACATTGGTGCTGGGAGCCCCCATCTCACTTAGGATTTTTTCTCAGTGAAGCTAAAGCTTTGTCAAAATCATTGTTCTTTACAAGGATGTGGCTTTCTGGGTTTACTATTCTCAACTCCATTACCCTGGCACTGACCTTCCTCTCTTTCCTTCTGAAAGCTTTGGGGTTGGTTTGCGCTTCCTTTTTTCAAGTTCCTGAAGGCATAAATTTAGGTTGTTTGTTTGCGAGCTTCCTTGTTTTTAACCTAGGCACTGTGGCTACGAATTTGCCTCTGTGCACTGTTTTTGCTGCACCCCAGGAGTTTGGATCTGTGATGTTTTCATCGTCGTTCATCTCCCGATTTTCCACCCCCTTCTTCAGTTTCTTTGTTTAAGTGTGTGCTGTTTGGTTTCCACCTGTGTGGATTTCCAGTTTTCCTTCTGCTTTCCTTTCTAGCTCTGCATAGTGATGGGAGATGAGCGGTCTCGGGCATGGTGTTGGCCAGGCAGGTGGGCTCTCTAGACAGTTGGGAGGGGTCCTCAGCTGCTGTTGGGCAGAGAGCTTCACCAGTCCACGCAGCCTGGTTGGTTCATTGTGTTCTTCAAGAAGTCTGTGTCATGACATGACTTTTGTCTTCGACCCGTGTCATATGACCTGTTTGTCTGTTAGCAGAAGTGTTTTGTGGAGCTATTTCTTTCTTGGTTCTTTCCACTTCTGCTTCCTCTGTTTCTGGATCTACGTGTTAGGTACATAAATGTACACAGTGATCTTATATTCTTGATGGATTGGCCTCCGGGTTGATATTTAATGCCGTTATCTGATTCATAACTATTTTATAGTACCAGGCTTGGGACTTGAAATCAGGGCCTGGACACTGTCCCTGAGCTTTTTTATTCAAGGCTCATGTTCTATCACTTGAACCATGCTCCACTCTTGGTTTTTGGTGGTTAATTGGAGATAAGTGACTCACAGACTTTCCTGCCTGGGTTGGCTTTGAACAGTAAGCCTTAGATCACTAGCCAAAAAAACGTCCCCAAAGAAAAGCACAGAGACACAGGGTGTCTCTGTGGGACAATGCAGATGGAGAAAAGAATGCTCACCCCCTTCTAAACTTCTACAAAATAAAAGAGGAACACTTCTGAAATCACTCTGTAGGGTCAGCATTTCCCTACTAAAACAAAACAAGCAAAAAGTAACTGATTCACTGTCTTTTATACATATGTATTTAAAAACCCTCAACAAAAATACAAAGCAAGGAAACGGAGCAGCAGGCGCCCGGATTTCACAGCCAGACACATGGGGACCGACCAGGACCTTTGAAAATCCACTTCTGGGACTCAGACATAGAATGGAGGTGGATCACAGGCCCATCTCCATGGATTCAGAAAGCCAGTTAACAAAAGCCAACACCTTCTCCTTATGAAGACAAACCTGCCAGACACACAGCAATCAGAGAGGACTGGTGCCACACTGCCCAGGGTGACATAACACTGGTGTGCAGGCCACAGTTTGACTTCAGGGCAGAGACCAGACACCGCAGTCCACACTGCCACCAGCCACAGGTCTTCAACCCCACCCTCAGGTCAGAGACCAGATACGGACATCCACACCAGCCACTGGCCCTCGACCCAGACTGTACACAGCAAGGAAAACTGAGGGAGGTGCAAATCAGAAAACAAGAAGTATGATCCATGGGAGCATGTGACCTTCTTCCACCGAGCTAACCCAAACTCATGAAGATGCTCAAAAAATATGATTACTTCCAAACTGTGGGAATGAAGGCAGAGGTGCTAGCATGTTGGTCCATGGACCGATTCTGAGTCTTCAAACACACACAGTGCCACACTTACATCACATCTGAAGATTAACTCACAGTGGATTAAAAAAAAGACCTAAACACAGGAACTCAAGGACTTTGAGAAGGAAACATGAAGGGAAATCTTTATGTGAGATGTGACGGGTTTCTTACCTATGTCACAAAAAGCATAAGCAACAAGAGAGGAAAAGAAAGCAGGGAAATCAGACTTCATCACAATTCAGTATGCTCTGTTCAAGGGAAAACAAATCAAGAGCTAAGATGATAGCGCGTGGAATGTGGGGAACACGGGAAGCTCACACCCAGCTCACACCCAGATCACACCCAGAACACATGAAGAACACATGAAGAACACGTGGGATGTGGGAACCCAGGAAGCTCACACCCAGAACACATGAAGAACATGAGGAACGTGGGGACCCCGGGAAGCTCACACCCAGAACACATGAAGAATGCATGGAATGTGGGGACCCAGGAATCTCACACCCAGAACACATGAAGAACACGTGGAACGTGGGGACACTGGGAAGCTCACACCCCGAACACATAAAGAACACGCGGCTGGGCGCTGGCTTCACTCCTGCAGTTCTTGCTACCTGAGGGGCTGAGCGAGGAGGACCATGGTATGAGCACACTCAAGAGACCCCCTTCTTAACCAGTAGTGGGCAGAGGGGGTTACAGATATCGCGGAACCGGCCTGGCCTTCCCTCGGCAGCTGGACACAGAATATCACACACCCCTGCAGTGGCACCCAAAGTAAGTGAAAAGAATCATGCAAACAAAAGTGCGCACAAGTTCACACTCCCACAGGGAAACATCAGCACTCAGCATTCGAGGTGTGGACTGCCCGATGCCAGCTATCTGTGTGGAGGAAAATCACTCCCAGAAAAGAACACGCTCCGACCCTGTGATAATCCTGGGTGCACCTTGAAAGGATGCTGGGCGACAGAACCAGACACACAAGGCCCACATTCCCTCTGTGCTGACTGGCAGTGCAGGCCCCTTACCGGGGCCTGGGAACAGACACAGTGTTCACGGTCCTGACCCTGGGGTCGGCGGGGCATGGTGGGAAGGTCCCGTACTTGTGGGCATCTGGCAGGGGAGCTCTGAACCTGGTTCAGGTTTCTCAGTCTGATTTTTGTCTCCTCATCCCTGTCCTTCCCCCTCCACTGCCCTGGGCAGGACCTCTGGCCGGAGGGGCTCCCTGCCTATCCAGCCTGCTCTTTACCCCCACAAGGCTGACAGGACACTGGGAAATGGGTTCCCATTGAGCCACCCGCCAGCCAAGCAGGGACGGTCATCCTGTAGAGGACATGATCATTCCTGCCCGTCCTTGGGCCAGAGCCACTGCCCAGATGACCATGTGTGTCCTTTAGCATCTCCAGGTGACCCTCCTCGCCCCCCTCAACCAGGCTGTGTCCTCCACCCCTGACCACCTCTCCCATGCACGTGGTGGCTCCAGTGGGCCTTGGATGGAGAGGAAGGTCAGGCTTGGTGCATCCTTGAATCCGTGTGTCCTACAAACACACCCGCTTCCTGGAGACCAGGCCAGGGTGGACGCCGGTGTCCTCCCCAGGGAGAGATCCAGGCCAGTGCACACAGCAGCACCGGACCATGGAGACCCAGAGCCCCCATGAGGGCTGTTCTTCCATTGTCTGTGCGCAGACGCTCAGCTCAGTCCATCTGATGTGGCTGAGGTCCCTGGCGCAGAGGCTGGGGACAGAGTGTCCCACAGAAGCCCGGGCGGGCAGCTGGCAGTGAGGCCTAGGAGGAGGGCATGGTCAGCCCTGCCACTGTCCCCACGGGTCCTGAGGTGCCCTGCAGAGCCACGTGCAGGCCGCAGCCCCTCCCAGCACCAGGAGGTTTACTAGCTGAGCCCTAATGAAGGTCCTCATGCACCCAGAGAAACACGGAAACGGAAGGGTGCTGAGACTCCAGACAGACAAACACACCGCAGGGGAGAAAAGCCCAGGGGCAGGGCAACCCCCACCCACCGACTCCCCCTACAGTCAGACCCTCACCTCCTCCCAGCCCCGCCTCCACCATGTCTGTCTGCTCTGAAGCCTGCACCGACACCTCTTGGCAGGTGGACGACTGCCCAGAGAGTTGCTGTGAGCCCTGCAGCGCCCGCAGCTGCTGCCAGCCCAGCAGCTGCGCCCTCGCCCCCTGCCTCACCTTCCTCTGCTCCCCAGCAGGCTGTGTCCACCCCCTGCTGCCAGTCCATCTGTGCCACCTGCTGCACACCCTCCTGCTTCCAGCCTTCTAGTTGCCAGCCCTGCTGCTGCCCCTGCTCAGCCTGCCAGCCAGCCTGCTGCGTGCCAGTCTGCTGTGAGCCCGTGTGCTGCAGACCCAAGTGTGAGCCCATGTGTTGCAGGCCTGTCTGCTCTGTGCCTGTGTGCTGCACACCCGTGTGATACAGACCCATGTGCTGTGAGACCATGTGCTGTGGGTCTTCCTCCTGCTGCGGCCAGCCCTCCAGCTGCCCGCCCTGCCTGCTGTCCTCCAGCGTGTCCTGTTGTGCAGGCCCATGTGCAGGCCTGCCTGCTTCATGCCCACCTCCTCCTGCTGTGCCCCCTGCTGCCAGCCCGGCTGCTGCCGCCCTGCGGCCTCGTGCCTATCCCTGCTGTGCCATCCTGCCTGCTCCTGCCAGGCCTGCTGTGGCGGCTCCCCGGGCCAGTGTCCTTTAAGTCCTGTCCTCACCACAGCGTCACTCCACTGCCTGCCCCACAACCTGCCAGCCACAGGGCACAAGGAACCACTCCCTCAGGGACTATCTGCCCCTTGCCTGGCCTGGGGTCCTGCTGCTCCCAGGATCTGCCCTGGGATGCCCCTCCCAGCTGGTGTAGCTACTCCTGAGCCAAAACCCACCCTCCATTCCCGGCCACTCCCCCACGCCATTTCCCCACTGGTCCTAATCAAGCTGCTTAGCATCACCTGCCTCTGTCCTGGCTTCAACTTGGGGATGTGGAGGGGGAGGTGCAGGTCTAGTTGGTGCTGAGAGCCCCTCAGGCCCAGCCCCCCGGGGACCTGTGGGGCTCAGCCACAGTTCCACTGGGCCCCTCAGGGGGAGTCCTAGGAACCAAGACCAGGATTCCCCAGGGAAGCCAAGACCTCCACACTGCACTTGACCTTCACACCTGGGTCTGGACTCACTTCCTGGGCCTCCACAGAGGCCCTCCGGGGCCGAGGGTCCACCTGGGCCTGGCCTGGCTCCCCGGGCCTCACACCTTGTCTCCCACGGTGACCTTGCTGGGGTGGCAGCCTCCCACTGCCCCACTGCCCGCAAGCGCAGCCCTAATAGGGACAATGGCCCCGCAGCAGGCACTTCTGCACGCCCGGAGGCCAGCCTGGCAGAAACGGCCACAGGACTGCCTCATCCACATGGTAGGACACTGAGCTGGTGCTATGAGCAGAGCGGCAGAGGGGCACAGGGGCAGCCAGGCCAGCATCAGAGGGGCAGCCAGGACAGCGGCAGAGGGTCAGCCATGCCGGCAACAGAGGGGCAGCCAGGCCAGCATCAGAGGGGCAGCCAGACCGGCATCAGAGGGGCAGCCAGGACGGCAGCAGAGGGGCAGCCAGGACGGCGGCAGAGGGGCAGCCAGGACGGCAGCAGAGGGGCAGCCAGGCTGGCGGCAGAGGGGCAGCCAGGAGAGCGGCAGAGGGGCAGCCAGGCCGGCGACAGAGGTGCAGCCAGGCCGGCATCAGAGGGGCAGCCAGGTGGGCGGCAGAGAGGCAGACAGGTCAGCGGAGCTCACGTGGACCCCAAATTCATCCTGAAATGTGGCACGATCCTACCATGTTCTCAAATACAAGTTAACAATGGCAACAAAATGGAATTTCAGTCTGTCTTCAAAAGACACGGACTTTTGTGTGCTATTTCAGCATGAAGGCCTTTGCAGGCGTCACGCTCACGCCTGTGACCCCAGCTACTCAGGAGGCTGCAACCTGGAGGATCAAAGTCGGAAGCCTGCCTGGACAGAAGAGTCTGAGACTTGATCTCGAAAATCAGGAGCAAAACACCAGACTGGAAGCATGGCTCTGGTGGTAAATACCCCAGGAGTAAAAAAGCCAAGTGAGAGCCTGAATGAGGTCCTGAGTGCAAGCTCCGTACTCACAGACACACGTGCTGCGCACACGTGCATGCATACACACACAAGCACACACACTCCCAAGCTTAGCATAAGCCACAGGTATTCTGGATTTATCTAGAAAAACAGGCAGAATTCTAGTGCCAAAACCAGCAGAGAGAGTGAGAAAGAGAAAGACAGAGATAGGAGACCTTGGAGGGGAGAGATGGAGAAAGATAAAGAGGAGAGAGCAAGAGGCAGAAAGGGGAGGGAGGGGAGAGAGAGAGAGAGGGGAAAGTAAGAGGGACACACTGTAGATCCAGCTCATAGAAACACAGAAGTAAGAGATTGTAAAGAGAAGATTAGCATAGGCAAACCTGCCCTAAAGAACCTGAGTCCTATGTCTCCTCATTACAGAAAATAATGCAGATGTCCCTTTGCTAGAACTAGAAGGCAGACATTGTATACACCTGTAACCCAGCACTCGGGAGGCAGAGCAGGAGGCCAGCTGGGTGCCAGTGTGGGCTCCAGACCAGCCTGATTCACAAACAACAGCACAACACATTAGAAGTCGAGGCCCCACACCACCAGCAACAACAATTATGGGTTTAACTGAAAAGAAGTAGCTGGGTGCCGGTGGCTCACACCTGTCATCCTAGCTACTCAGGAGGCTGAGATCTGAGGATCCCGGCTCAAAGCCAGCCTGGGCAGGAACATCTGTAAAACTCTCATCTCTGATAAACCATTCAGAAAACCAGAAGTAGTGCTGTGGCTCAAGTGGTAGAGCACTGGCCTTGTGCTAAAGAACTGAGGGACAGTGCCCAGGCCCAGATTTCAAGCCCCATGACCAACCAAAATAAATAAATAAGTGCAAAGAAGTAAAGTCAGTACCGTGAGAGACAGCAGCAGCCCACCCACACCCATGTTCACCCCCACATAGCCCCCGTGCACACCCACACACACCTACATACACCTCATGCACACCCATGTTCATCCCGACATAGCCCCATGCACACCCACGCACACCTACGTACACCCCACCCACACCCATGTTCACCCCCACATAGCCCCATGCACACTCATGCACACCTACGTACACCCCACGCACACCCATGTTCACCCCCACATAGCCCATGCACACCCATGCACACCTCATGTTCACCCCACCCACAGCTCACACCCCATGCTCACCCACTCCACAGGCCATGCATGCCCACATCCATACCATGATCACCCTACACTCACCCGTGCTCACCCCTGCATTCACCGTAGTGGACTTCACAGCGTGGACTGAGCGGCCATGCCGGCAGAGGCACGCACTGGCACTGGGACTGAACTCCCTGTGGAATGTGGGGCCAGCACAACCGTGCTGTTCCACCATCGGAGAATTGCATGGCCGTCACCACGGGCTTGTCAGGTTCATGGAGACTGTGGCCTGGGGGGCAGGGGCTCTTCCATGAGGAGGACCACAGAATGGGGGTCACGGGGCAGGGTGGAGGTGATGGGACAGAGTGGGGTCACGGGACACGGTAGGGATAACATGGCAGGGCTGGGGTCATGGGACAGGGTGGGGTCATGGGACAGGGTGGGGTCTCGGGGCAGGTTGGGGGTCATGGGGCAGGGTTGGGGGTCATGGGACACGGTGGGACATGGACAGGATGGGGTCATGGGGCAGGGTGGGGTCATGGGGCAGGTTGGGTTCATGGGGCAGGGTTGG